GTGGCGTGAGTTGCTGGGTGATTTGGCCCCCCCCCATTTTTGTGGAGTCCCAAAGGTGGAGAACCACTGGGCTAGATGATCCTGTAAGACCCCTTCCAATCCTTACCTCCTGTGGTTTTTTATTTATTTATCTAGTTCAATCTGTACACTGCCCGACTCTGTATGATTAAATTACAAGGAAGCAGATTTAGGCTGGCTATCAGGAAGAGTCGCCTATCGGTAAGAGCGTTCGCCCATGGAACAGCCTGTTTCAGGAGCAGCAGACTCTCCTTTGCTGGAGAGGTGGGACATCCGCCTGTTATGGATTTAAGATTTATTTTATTTTATATTTTATTTTATATTTCAAATTTGGACACCGCCCATCTCATGAGGAAGTGACTCTGGGGAGTTTACAATAAAATGGGTGCTGGAATTCCAGCCCTGGGCGGAGGCTGGACTAGTTGATCTCCAAGATCCAACCTTCATCTGCTCCAATGCTAGGATTAATTCTTATTGTGACTTTACTACGTGACTTTACTGATTGTGACTCTGAGCGACAAGGAAGAAACAGTGCAAAAAAAATAACAATCCAAAAGAGCCGTGTGGGAATCCTGGTGTGTAGGAAAGAGACAATGTGTTGTTTGTTGCACCGCTGAATGCCGTCTGGGCTATTCCTCAGTCGCTTCTTTCCTTCTTTGGTCGTTTCCAAAATAATCTATTTTAATTCTTCCTTGGCTTGGCTTTTTCTTCCTTCCGCAAAGAACCACGTTTTTGTTTTCTGCTTTTTGCAAATTCAGCCATCTTACCTTATCCCACTCGAGTTTCTCGATATCCACCAAAACCCTCATGAGTTCTGGGATGGCCAGCGAAGGGTGAGTGTCATTGAGCTGGATGGCTACCTGGAGTTGTCAAACCGTATAAAAATACAATAAAACGGATGGAACGAATGAATCGAGCTCAGCGTGCACCGCCAGGCATTCCCATTTCGGCTGCTCTTATTCCCATTTTACAGCTGAGAAGACTGAGCCCAAAACCCCACAAGAGATCTAGCGTAGGAGCCCAACCTGCTTCCTGTTTCCTCTCCACCACGCTCTCTCTTAAAGCAAAGCAGCCCCAACTCTCCATCCAGCTGGGTATAATATCCAAAACGGAGACCTCCAAATCCTTTTCTCCCATCTAAGTTGTTTGGGGAGCTGCAGTGACCCACTTTGCCCCCTCTGGGTCCAATCCCCACAGCTGGCCGAAGAGAAGAGATGGATGGAGAGGAGAAGTTATTCTTACCGCTCACAGAAAAGGGAGCAGAAGCAAAATAGGACTAGGAACAGCTCAAAAGGGGGCTGAATCAACAGACCCCCCCATTCCCAAGCTGAGTTGGGGGTCTTAGCTGGTCCCCAGCTAAACTGACCCCCGAGGCTTGCCTGGTGGGCCTCCCCCGCCCACGATGAGAGAAGGCACCCCGGGACACAGATTTGCCAACGTGCCACTCAGCCAAAGTGCCCTTGCGGGTACCTTATCTGGAAAGGCGTCGAAGGAGGTGCGGACAGGATCGCGGCTGCCAAACTTGGACGATTTGAAGCGGCGGATGATGTCCTGGAGAGTCGCCGCTACCACAAAATACTCCTGCTTGAGACGCAGCTCTTTGCCTTCAAAGAACTGCAAAGAGAGGAGCAGAGCGATGGCCGAGGGGACGACGCTCAGCTGGCAGAAAAGTGCAACTAAGGGGTTCGCTGATTCCACCAGAGCAGCATTTCTCAACCTTAGCAATTTTAAGATGGGTGGACTTCAACTCCCAGAATTCCCCAGGCAGCCCGCCTGCCGGGGGGTTTTGGGAGATGGAGTGCACCCATCTTAAAATTGCTAGAGATGGGAAAAACCCAATTAGAGGGTCCCT